CTCATTTATGATTTTTAGCCATTCAACATACCGAAATGGTTGTGGTATTGAAGAATAGATAAAATTTGTTAGTAAAGTGCAAATAAGAAGTAAGTTCAGACCGATTTGAAAGCTACTTACCCAAGAAATCAGCACAACTCGCCAAATCTAACCATTCTTTTCGAATATAGTTCCATGATCATATAGAACTTGAGCAAGCCATCCAATGTTGTTAGGTTCACTGTTGTTAATAGTGCAAAGAATTATTACAATTCTCGATAAATTTTGGATTAAATTGATCAAACATCGATATTTAAATTTAAAAAATTGTCTCGAAGCCCTATGATGGTAGAGAATGACCCACATGTTAATCTCATAATTGTATTTTCTGTTATTGGGATATATAAACAAGGCAGATATATAATGATTAACCCAGTAGAAGACAATTATATTTTAGTTGATGAGCTATTTTCAATATCATCCACACTATTAGAAACTTATTACTTTAATTTAGAACCTTTTGACCCATCTACAACTCTTATTATTTCTTCTACCCTGCATCCTCATACTTATAAACTATATGATCTTGAATCACATCATAACAAATACTTAAGTAACCAATATCTACTACTCTTTTCACATCCTCAAACTATGGAATCATTCTTATCTCACCTCGTCAGACTAGACTATACCAATAATAATATATACTACTACTAAAAAATTTTTACAATATTAACATAACATCCTCAGAAACTAAAATAAATAAAAAATATGAAAAATAAAAAAAACAAATAAACAATACGAAGGTTACTATAAATATAATACCTATAATATCTTGAGTTAAGTTTAATGCAGATTTTATTTCCTGTGTATTAATAGCCTTACTAACATAAATAGAATTTGGGTGTTTTTGAGAAATAGTCGGCAATGCTTTAATTGTTTCATCAGCAGCCAAGAACTCATTCATTATATAAAGTTGTTCTTCATTAAGGCTAGACCGCAAATAGTGTGAATCCCTCATAATTTGATACAACTTATCAATTTCTAAATAAACATATTTAGCAGTAGGTCGTTTTTGTGGATCTATATTCATACATTTCATGGCTAATTCTGTATAAACTTTAGGCATTCTCGGAGAAAAATCCGGTCTTAATCCATTACAGATAATATTCACTGCAAGGTCATTTCCAAATTGATAGCCGTCAAAAGGTCGTTTTCCAGTTGACATTTCCGTCATAATAACACCCAAACTATAAATATCAGCTGCGGATGTATATTTCTTACCTAACAAGATTTCAGGCGCAATATATGGCATAACACCATAAATATATTCGTTTGAAATATCATTTTGTTTTCGAGATAATCCTAGATCTGCAACATAAGATTTTAATTTGCCATGAAACTGATCTACTAATATTAGAAAATAACGAAAGCAAAGTGTATGGCTTAACTCGAAATGTTGAAACTAATGAATATATGATTGTGTTTGATTGTGGAACAGCATGTCCACGTTGTGATCAATATCTATATTCAAACTGGTGCCCTTCATGTGATCTGGAAAGTATGTCTCAATTGCATGCATGCAGTGATAAAGACATCAATAATTGCATTAGAGAATTTCAATTTAAAGCTAAATCATATAAGGAAGTAATTGAATGGATTCCATTTGATAGGCTATATGATGTAAAATTAATTGGAAAAGGAGGATTTGGATCAGTATTTTCTGCAATTTGGTTGGATGGCAAACGAACAGTGAAAATTGATGTTAATTTACAAGATGTACCAAGGTCACGTGAAGAGTCTTGCATGGTTGCGCTCAAGACTTTATCTGCATCAATATTAAGCCCTTTTGACTTTTTAAAAGAAGTGAGTTTGAGGTTACAATATAATATATTATAAAAACTATGCATTAAATTTATAAAAACCAATTATTTATATAAATCCTATTTTTATTGAATAAGTTTAAAAATCACATGCAATGTAGATTAAAAGGAAGTAATCTTGAAGTATATGGATTAACTCAAAATACGGAAACTGGCGAATATTTCATGGTATTCCAATATGCAAATAGAGGAAACCTTCATGATCTCCTATTATCATATTTTAAGGAACTTACATGGGAGACTAAGTTAGAACTTCTCAAGAATATTTCGTATGATTTATTTCAAATTCATGAAGCAAAATTTGTACATCAAGATTTTCACAGTAGTAATATATTAGATAATCTTTAAGCTTACGAAAAACAAATTATATGTTAGATTGTTTTTTTTTGCACATTAAAATTTTATAATGTAGATTAACATACTTCTCTTCTGAAATAAAGAACATTCGTGTGAAAAAAGTGTAGTGCTTTAAGTTTAACTATATGTGGTGTTGTACGTGATTGCACGT